GCTCTCCCTGATTTCAGCTTTAGCCATGCTGACCTCCTTTCCATTCTTTGAACATCCCACACTCTCTGAAGCCTTGAATTGTCACTTATGCCATATGCCTGAAATACTTTTCCCCTTTCCTGACTTTTAACTCCTGTCTAGGACTCTGCTTAGCTGTTACTTTCACAAAGAGGTGCTCTATGATGATAGTATGTGTTTTTGTTATACATCCAGGTCCAGCACATAGTACTTTGTTTATAGCACATACATCTTTCTTGTTCATCTGTGATACTCATACCTGTACATTCCAGGAAAGCAAGAAAAAGAGCTATCTCATTTTTCACTGGGTCTCCTGTCACAGTACAGGGTCCAGCACTACTGAATGAATCAGGGAATGAATGAATGAATTGCATTCCAGGAACAAAGGAAAATATGTGTTGAACCACAGAGGCATGGCATTCCATGGCACGTTCTAGGAATAGCAAACATTTTAGGTGGCTGAAATGTAGCACGAGAAAGGAGAGGTGTCCAGAGATGAGTACAAAGAAGTCAGCTACTAAAGGCCTTCTATAAAATCCTAGCGGTCTGCACTTCACCCTGTAGGAAGTGACTATCAGTAAGGTTTTAGTACAGAAGAATAAAAGGCTTATCCAATGAATTACTCTAGAAGCACTGTGGAGGATGGACTGAAAAAGAAAAACTGGTTTAAGTGAAATTAGGAGTTGTTTGGAAATTAGTTAGGAGTTGTTCCTGTACTGCAGGTGAAAAATGAAGGCTTCCCTGGAATAATGAAGTGGAGCAGCTCCATTCAAAAAGCATTTTTGAGATAGACTCCATAGCAATAGTAATTGCTGACTAATTGCATGTGGGAGTGAGTGAAGGATGATAACATGGGCTAGCTTAGGAGACAGGCTTCTTGGGATGCTATTAATGGAAATATAGAATTTAGGGAGAGGAAACTCTTTTCAGGGAAAGAAATAATGGGCTCAATTTTAAACATGTTGAGAGTTCTGTGCACCCACTGGGTATCTAGATACAGTATTTTATGCAGTTGGAAATGCATAAAATCTCACCTTGGTATCTTATTGATTGTAGATGTAACCAGTGTTCTCCAATTGACTGTGTGGTCTTCCAGTTTATGTACTAAAAGAAAAACTTTGGAAACTGACAGTGTCATATTAATTTCATGATTTCTGTTACTTTAGGCCACAACTGGCAATCAAAATAACTGCTTCAAGGAGAGTCTCTAAAGTCACTTTGTGGTTATTTTTTCAATTTAATACATACACCTATACTAACCCCCACTTAAATTCTGAAGTGATAACAATTTCATCACAGGTGGATATGTTATTATATACCTTTCTTGTTATATTCTGAGGTCTGTGAATTCAGGAAGGAAGTGTATTATTCTTGATAAACTTAGTGCCAATAATAATGGGAACTTGGATAGATAGATGGATGGATGGATGGATAGATGTGAAGAATTTATAATCTGACTTCAGGAATATGTGGCACTCTCTGGAGCTAGTGACCTAGAAATTAATCATATCCTACTAGTTAAATGCCTAATGCTTAAAAAGATACTGGCAAATAGAATGCAGAAGATCATCAAGAAGATCATACACCCTGATCAAGTGGGATTCATCCCAGGGATGCAGGGATGGTTCAACATACATAAATCAATAAATGTAATACACTATATCAATAGAGCCAAGG